AGAGTCTTAATTAGGAGATTAAGTATATTTTAAATAAAAATAAAAATTAGGCAAAGTCGCCCTTTCAACTGGCTACTTATAAGTTAGGTTTTTTTTTTTTTTAAACATGTTTCAATTTATATTAAAGTTGATCATATGATTGGGAGTGATCTTAAATACGTTAGAAATTTTGTAGTAACATGATATAAAACATGATATATGTACATTTCTAAGAATGCAATGAGTAATCTCAATATATGAGCTGTGAAGTCGTTTTGTCCAAATAATATATATTGTCCAATCAATTTTGTAGGCTTGTGTTGTCATGCATTTGTGACATTGAGTGATCTCAATATATAAGCTGTAAAATTATTTTGTCCAAATTGTATGTATTATCAAATTAGTTTTGCGGGCTTGTATTATCATGTCTTTGTGATAGTAGTAATTAATATGATGATTTATTTTTTATTTCAACTGACATTAATGAGATCTAATGGCCTTTCTATATAAATTGAATATGTGTTGGTCATTTCAATGAGTGATATCAGCATTTTGGAGGCTCAACTTTGTTTGGAAATATTGTTCTACTTCTTACTTTTTCAATCTGTTTTGGATAAGATTCGGAAAATTATTATAAAGAAGTTGATCGAGGATGGTAGCACTCGATTGAAGGAATGTTTGACACATTCCACTGATGATGGCCAAGAGGAGAAGGTCAAATCAAACAAATTTTTTTGGTGTTTCATCCATTCATTATGAAAATTGAGTTTTATAGGAATAGAGCATATTTGAGAGATGTGGGTTAGAGATATTAACAACGGTGGTTCATGAAACACTATGACCTTTTTTGCTCTTCTAAACAATCTTAAGGACAAAATTCGTGAAATTGAACGCAATAAAGAAGGTTCTATTGAGGTGATTATTAATAGGCCAACAACTAATATATATCAATGTCTTCTTTACCATAAATGAAATCATGCGAAGGATGCATTTTTACTTGAATCATATGAGACGACATATCTCAACTCTCGGCGGAGTTTGGGAACACGAGCACGTGAGGAAAAATAATAGTTTAGGGTTTGCAATCCGGCTTTTAAAAAAATTTTTAAATAATGTAAGTCATATATATGTTCAATGGGTGACTTTGTCTAAATTGGTAAGTCCTGCAACTATGCCTACTTTTACTTTTTTTTATTCTACTTAATCACCTAATTAAGACGCTAATGATGTTTACCTTAAAAACTTCTCCCTTTAATATTAGAGAGAGAGATTGTTAAGAAATATAAACATGATAGTCCTACATTTTGAAAAATAAATTAATTTAGTAATATTAAGTAACTTAATTCTCTCTCTCATAAGAAATTGCAGATAAATTTTTTTTATATGAGGGGGCGACAATAATAAAAAAGTTTGGAAATTTTTTTTTTTGAGATTTAAGAGGTGAGGATTGGAATTCATATAAAAGTTAATATTTACGTTGCATTTTGAAATACCACAGGAGAGAGAGAGAGAGATTGATTCCTCTGCCGACACAGAATTCCCCCACCACTTTCCCCAAAGTCTTTGATGGTTCACACTTCACCGAACGTTTATTTATGCGAATCTCACGCATGCCCACTTTTCTCTTTTTCAGCTCTTACTGATCAGTGGGAGACCAAATTCGATAGGAAATTAATTTAGGAGCTGTTTAGTTGGAGGTAGAGTTCATGTAAACTATTTCGTTTAAAAGATTGTAAAAATAGTTTTCAAATATATTAATTTCTTTAGTTAAAATAGTTTTCAACCCAAACAAGCTACCCTGTCATCACCACCCGTCTGCTAGCGATCGCCACCACCCCGACTGCCAACCACCCCGACCGCCTACCACCGCTGCCTCCGGTAGTAGCAAGACAACACCAACACCATAGGCGACCACCACTGCTTGCATCTGATGGCCACCCTCCATCGTTGACCAATCGCTACCATTTTAAACTTTATGCTGAATTTATTTTTACTTCGCAAGACAACACCAACACCATAGGCGACCACCACTGCTTGCATCTGATGGCCACCCTCCATCGTTGACCAATCGCTACCATTTTAAACTTTATGCTGAATTTATTTTTACTTCAAACAAAAAAAAAAATCTGGTGCATTCCTTTTACACTTATCCAAATAGTTAAAAATAACATGATATTTAATGTTACAATATAATACATTAAAGTGTTCATCACATTTTTTCTTTGTTAATAATTTTTTATTTTGTATGTATAAAATGTCCTTGCAAAATTAAATTTGTCAGAGAGCAATAAAAATAAAAAAATATTATCAATTATTTAATAAATATTTTATAATATTTATAATAATTTTCAATTTTAATGCTCTCAAAATTATATACAATAATTTTTTTTGAAAAGAGACCGTAGTCGGCAGGAGACCTGGGTCAGAAAGACCGTTGTCTGTTGATGGAGGTCGGAAGGACCATAGTAGGCGACAAAGGCCTGAAGAACTGTAGTCGGCAGGAGACCGTAGTCGGCCGGAGACCGTAGTCGGCAGGAGACCGTAGTCGGCCGGAGACCGTAGTCGGCAGGAGACCGTAGTCAGAAATACCGTTGTCTGGTGATGGAGGTCGGACGGACCGTAGTAGGCGACAGTGGTCA